GCTCCCTAATATTCCGTTCTTGAAACACTATTAGAGTTTGCTGTCAAATTTTGCGGGAAAAGTTGACCTACTATCGAACAGTCGAATAACCTCTGGCTGAGACGCGAAATCGATCGCTTTGCAAGTCGTGAGAGCATCGTTGTTTGGTCCCAGACCTCGTTTCTTACCACCCCTCTCCCCAAGGTTTTCTTTTAGCTCTCGTGTTCAAGTCTTTTTTTTAGTGCATAGATAAACAACAACACCCCAATAAGTTATTACGTATGGTTTAAGACCACACACGGAAAAATTACCTCATTTATAGTAATACTCTGACAACTTTATTCCATCCGTTATGATTTGATATTAGTCGGCTAAGCGTAGCGGGACCCGTCTTCCCCCTCTAAAAAACGGAGGGAAGGAAACGTCTGCGAAAAGTTGGTGGGTATGGCTACAGAAAGGCTGATTTGATTTTGCACAAGCATCGCGTTCACACGAAAAAGAAAAAAGGGCTACATAATGACTAATAGCTGTTATTACGGAATTTTGGCCAAGTACATTGAAGTTTGAGAAACACGATTTAAAAGAAGTTAGGTGTTGGGTATGGACACTGGTGACTGAATCTACGAAGTTTAGCGATTGATTCACCGTTTGTTGATTGAAACCCAAAGCCCTTTGGTTTTGTTTGTAAGCCGCCCATTCATCTGTATAAACCAAAGAGTCTGGTTGCACGTTTCTTTGAATGATCAGCAATAGCGTAGCAGCATTTCGCCTTTTGACAAGCTGTAAATATGGTCTAACGGGTTCATACTGGGTATCGAAAAGCCCAAGAATCCATCTCTCTCCTCGAGGTCGACGTCCCCTTTGGTATTATTGAGACAGAAGTGCACACAATTTTCATTAAAAAGTTAAGTCTATGTGAAACAGAGGAAAACTAAGCAAAACCGTTTGTAAGCAGGTGTAGGCCATAAATAGACGGAGAATGATCTAAGATAAACTCAATATATTGCAGATGTTATGTTTTGTGAGAATGTTTGATACCGAAGACCTGGCTTAGAAAAAAAATACCTAAAACAATTTAAAACAAACTCATACGAGACATCGAAGCGTATCTTTTGGTGTTTTGTTCTCCATTATTGTACTGACCGCTTTGGACTACAATAAGGAACATTAACATCGCTAGACCACGTACAGTCCCTCTTTCGCTCTAAAATCTGTGGGCAGTACACTTTTCTAATGGTCCGTCTTATAGGTCTGCGTTCTTTCTATACACATACCTTGGACTTGTGATTAAACTTTGATTCATCAACTTGTATAATAACACCTGGGCCGCCTAACTGTGGGATCGGGTTGTGCAGCAATGCTTCCCACGCAATCTCCTGGCCCTTTCGTGCAGACTTGTCGAAGACTTTTCGTGAAGCCGTCCCTTCAATCCCCATTACTTTGAGGGAATCATTTGTGCCCATTTCCAAAGATAGCGCAGTTGTCTCCCTAAAGAAGTTCTACTTCCAGCGAAATATGAGTTTACTCTCACTGACGAGACACGTCCACAACGGAAACATTTTCTGTTGAGTCGCCTAAAATAGTTATTGTTGACAGAGGACGTAAAAGGGGTTGACGCAGCCGGCATATAACTGGCCCGATTTCGCGGCAAAATAAAATTTTGTAATAAAAAAGGAAAAATCATAAAGGATAACAGAAAACTGACGGTTTGGTTTGGACATTATTTTTTGCGACTGTCGTTTTGTTTGAAAAAAGGTTAAAAAGTAGTGAAGTATAGCCTGTGTACATCCGCCCCATCCCCTATATTGTTAGTATTAAATGCTTATGGCCAGCTTCTGCTACATTATATTGTTGTTTTGCTTCGAAGTGTAGTATGGAAGCAAATGGGTTAAGGCAGTAATTTATTTTTTGGGGCATAATTACTAGTCTACATAGCGTAATATCGATAGCTAATGTTAAAACAGTTAAGAGCCCTTAAAGTTCCGAAAACATAGTTCTGGGAAACAAAATTACGAGCAGGTAAACTAGGAGGATATCAATTAGTACATTCTCGAGTCATGTGTGACGTACAAAAGCTTAAATTTTCAGTGATTGTCCTAACTCTTGGCTTGAAAGCAAAGAATTCCAAGTTTATAAATTACAGTTTGGTGGGAACTGCGCACTCGCAGTGCGTTTGATTGCTGTGAACAGAAGCCTTTTTACTGTCCAACCTAGTTCTCAGGCTCTCTTGGAGGCAGTGAGAGAGAGACCTTAGGAACGAGGTTGGCTAATTTCGGGCGTTTGGATCATAATAATATGCTTCTTAGGGCGACACGATAGAAGAAAATGACCAATAGCGCTACAGGTGTTGCATTAAGGGTAATCTAATTAAATCGAATGAAATTGGCCAGTGACGAAAGGTTTGTAGGCAAAAGGTACAATCGGACTTGAGAACAAAATCAGTTAACAAAAGATCACGCCATACTGTGGGAGCATCGCGGTTTTTCGCTAGGCTGCCTTTCCCCCAGCCAAAGTATCTGGCTATTAGCACCGTATGAGTTTTAAAGTGATTATCTTGATATGTGTCGCTCTAACAAATCTCAACGACATCTTGGTTTGTAAATTTCCCGCAATTGATTAGGCAGTAAATGTTTCATAGTAACTTCCCTTCAATGCTTCTTCATATGGAACTGCGGATCGATTGCACCTGTATATAAACAGAAACAAATTAGACGCGAGCGAAAAGAACAAAAGAAATTGCCGCATGTTAACTCAGTATGAGGCTTATATGATCATGATTTTCGCGATAACGTCTTTTTTATGTATTCCGAATCTAGCTCATCATCAGATTTTAGATAATTTGTGCTGTAGGCGCTAATAGCCCATTTCTGAATTACCTTTGGCTTTCTTTTCAAAGCGAGTCCTGGTGCTCATGGATGGTGAAAATTGTCATATGTTTTGAAATGAGTAACCTCCTCGCGAACGTTCCTTATGCTACTTTTGTGATCTATGACCGTGAGGCTAGAAAGTGAAAAAAGCACTTGACCTATAATCGGCACTGAAAGTGTGAATTCACGCTAAGTTCTCTGGCAATTATTAGTTTTCCCAATCGCAATGACGTCACCCTCAAGGGTGGAGAGAAGAGGACATATGTGTATAAGAGTCTGAAAGCAACAGGTTGCTTTTAATGTTAGTGGGAGTTAGCTTTTGGTACGGAATTCGAACATGGCTGGAAGACTGAGAGTGCATGATTTGGGACGTTTGTCTGATGGGCACACCTTAAAGTGCCTATGACACGATATTTTTTTTTTGCATTTTGTGGTTAATAGTTTATTTAAAATAAGAAATAATCGACCTTAGCGTCTAGCAAGTTCTTCTTGACCGTTTTTTTGCGCATTGAAAGTACGATTTGGCGGCCAAAAAGTGTCGCGCGTTAAATGCGCGACAAAAATGATTATGTTACATAGATATGACGTAGAAAATTTCAACTATGGTGGAGAAGGGAGAAATCTAGAAGAAAGAACGAACGTATTGCGTGGCTGGAGCGCCAAATATAGTTATCTACATGAATAATACACATAGACCGGGTATTTCTATACACTACATTGCAAAGGATGTAGCTGTATGGCCAAAATGTACGCGTTTCGACTGTCGATATCGAGGAGATTTTACTCTTTAATGTCGTCGGCCTTGTGCTTCATACCTGCTTCGAAGACGCCTGTTACGAAAACACATCACTACTCAAATCAGGGGAAGATAACCAATGAATTCAGCTAAAAATAATGCTGATTTAATGCTAAGGCGCCTGTTCCCGCACCGTACACGATTTTTCAACTTTCTTTTCGGCTGACATTTCGCAAGCGAGTGTCACAAGCTTATTGTTTTTATTTCAAGCCTTGAGAGGTACTCATACTCCTTGTCTTTCCAAATGACTACATTCGCACTTTTTTTTTCATATGAAAATCCCACCAATTGCAGTTTCCATCATATTTTAATAACAGAAATACATCATTTGTAATAAAGTCCAAGCCCTTTCCTGAGCTGACCGATATCCTGTTGCGTGAACAGTGCGAAACCTCTGGCGGATACTGGTATGAACACAAGCTCAAAGGGGCCGTGTATACGTATTCTCCTAACCTGGGTTTCCGAAAATCCATACCACGAGCCATCAATGCCCCCCGGCCTCAAAAAACTAAGAGTAGCAACAGTAGCAATGAATCCAAATGCTGTGTGAAAGTCTATGCGTACGAAATATTAATTTATAATACTGATGTCAGTTATTTTCTTTGAGTGAATGGGTCATACGGCAATGCTGCCTTTAAACTAAAGAAGTCTTTCTCTGTTAAAATCCCTATTTGATATTAACTTGAATCAGATGACCATAAACTTATTCGTTTTCCGTTCGATTTGACGATCGCGACGATAGTCTCAGATCTGCCTTTCCAATCTCTGAGGAAAGAAGTAACTGAGAGTGAAACTGCTCGCTGACTTCTCCGTGAAAATCATCGTAGCTCGTGATACAGCTGATTCTTTCGTCAAAAGTTGGCTTTTGGTTTACTAAGGGAATCTCTCGACAGCAACAAAACTCTAGATCACTGGGGAACCTTCGCCGCAAATAGTGCGGAGGAATAAAATGTTATGGCAACAGAAACGAACACAGCTACCCATTCTTAACCGTACTCGGAACTTCCATTTCTCCACTACTACTTGAGTGCGATGTATCACAACTCTCCATAGAATTTGCTGAAGGTAGGTATTCATCGCTATCGGACATAATTTCAAGAGTATTTCAACGCTGACTGATACAAAGATTACAAGAGATGTGAGAGATTTGTGGGTGAACTGAAAGTTTTCACAGTGTTGTACGTCATCACCTGCCGATTCGTTACCAGTCCACAGGACACTTTTAAGACAACATAATAGCACTTTAGGGCCCGAAAAGACTGAGTTTTAAGTTTTTTGAAATTTTTCTTCCATCGGAATTGGTTTGAACATATGATAAACTAAATATTTATGCCAAAAAAATTCGTGTCACGGGTGCTTTAATAGATTGCCCATTTCGATCCAATTTTTGTGGAGAGTTGGTAAATGTCTGCAACTGTATCAACTCCAGCCTTGTTGACGTAGTTTTGGCTTTTGAGATTCCCGCCGCGAAGGAGTGCAAGGTTTCGAAACAAAAGGCAAACACTGACAACAGGTTAGATACTGCTATTTCAGTAATATTTTGACACTCGTGATCAAGTGATACAGGGAAGGCGAAATATCTGAGAACTTTGAACAATTCAAACGTTAGCGCTAAGATGTTATTTAGTATGACAGAATTGAGGTTTATTTACTCTTTCCACGTGAATTGTAATTAGTGTAATTGAGGCTGCTCATATTCCTGCAAAACGTGATTAAAGCTTTTGTTTTTTTGCATTCCCAATTTTAAGATATTTTCATACGAAAATTGTACGCAATTTTTTACTTAAATGTTGCCCGTGAAGAAAGAATTGAATTAGACGTGAGTCGTGAACGAGGGTTGAATAGGGGTATACAAATCCGCCGATCCTGGCTGTTTTCACTGCAACGGACTGTACAAGTTTATTTTTTATGCCGATCTCTCAAGAAGTTTTCTAGCATTACTTTTTTATAAGAAGGAAATAGTGTAGCACATCGCAAAAAAATTGAGCAATAACTCGTGCGGTAAAATCCATGGACAGGAAAAGCATCGTGGGTAATTCTTAAGCCCAGGAATGGAGGTGTGGAATATTCCCACATAAAACTTACGGGAGTGCGGGGGTAGTCGTCCGAAATTTTAGAAGAAAACCAGGCCCTAATAGACACTAGTAAGAGGTACCAATTTTTAGAGCTAAAGCCATAATGTTTTTTCTGTTCACATCAGTACCAGAACAATTCTAGCGGTGGTCGTTTCATCACCAAATCACCAATTATAACCCCTTAAGTACGACGATTGCCCCGTCACTTTCAGAAGGACTTCCCCCTCTCCGTGTACACACATACCACACATTTCACGGAGCATACTTCGATCACGATTCACGAAACTTTTTTCAGTAAATCACGATTAACCTTTTGGGGGCCTAGGACGAACTACAAAGCAGCACCTGGATACGGAGCATACGCAACGGTACAAAGACGGTTGAAAAGCTAAAATTTTACTTTCGTTTCTGTTACACATATTTAAGGTCCTAGGACCATTTCAGGATGGAAAAAGGTATTATAATAATATGACTTTCATATATTCTTAACCATTTATTCATCACTTCACGGGTTTATTTAGAACCAACTTCATAACCAGCTCCCAGTTGGCTTGTTAGCTCAATTGGTAGAGCGCTGCACCGGTATCGCAGAGGTCATGGGTTCAAATCCCGTACAGGCCTGAATTTTTTTTCAGGCCTTATTTTCACTACTGCCTAAGTAGTGCACATTACTGCGTGGATCACTTTCATTAACGTCTTTATCCGCAGTTCAAATATATGACTATATATGAATATATAGCTTACTGCTTAAATCTCGCTGCTCTTCCCGTACTACCAAGCCACACGAAAAGACACAAAGAAGTCTTGACAAGAGACCTTAAGACTTTCACTTCTGTGGCTAAATCTTTTTACGGTTAACCTTTTCTACGGCTAACGGTTAAAACTTTCCAATTTTTGCCGCTAAAGTTCTGGCCAGTTTTACAGCTAACGATTAAACCCATTGAGACCCTCCTGAAGGTTACAAACCAGAAGACCGCTGACACTTCAGACCATAGTTAATAGAGGGGAATGATTATGAAACCCGAGAAAGTTCTTGCTGTATTTTTGTTCAATTTTCGGTCTTGACCGTGCGCAATACATAATTGTTGTTTACTACTTACTGAGGAACTAACCAATAGAAACGTTTCGGTTACGTAATTCATGCATAGTGTATGAGCGAAAAGCAAAAGATTGTGCATGGTCATGGACTTTCCTACATAAATCTTGAAATCTTTGTTTGCTCCTGTGATGTTTGCCGGCCTTTGTAACCAATCAATTATGTTCAGACTAACTGAAAATTTGAACTTAAGCCAAGTATATCAAAGCTGCGGTAGGTAACACTCTCCTATCACCTCATAGTTTATTATGAAGGTTATTTACAGAACACTTGACTTTGATATTCAGCTAAATAAAACAATCAGGTTTTAAAGGTTGTACTTGGTTTCAATGTTAGCGCGCAAAATTACAAAACGATTATGTCCTTTTTTGCAACAGGTCCGATTGGCAGCATTTCGTCAGGGTATCTGGGCACATCCCGACTTGCTTCCCACCCCTTAAGCGCAATTCAACACCACGAAAATGGCCAATCATGAAGTCACGAAACTACCCTCTCCCCCCCCTCCCCCCGACACACACACACACACCATGATCAATTTGATATTATCTATTGCCTTTCCATTTTGATCGATTAAAGTGGCCGCGGTGACTTGAAGGGAATGTATTATCTATTTTAGCAACAATTTTCAAAATGAGTGGAAACTTTTTGTTCATTGCAGCAGTGAAACGAAGGACGGGATAATGCTCACGACACCGTCTACGCATTTACGTTATTAGTATTTCAAAAATTCAACTTCTTTTTTACTGATTAAAGAAAATCATCATCACACCTATTTATTTCTTGGTTGTAAGATGATAGACCTCACAAAATAATTGCGCTTTTTTTAAATGACAAATATCTGTTTATACTGATATTGAATTTCTGTCGTTTTATTTCAGTATTAATTACGGGATCCAATTTGCAAGGGATCCATCAGAGATATCAAGCAATTCTGGCATCCCTCGCAACACTTTAAGGGATTATATTGGCATTTGCGAATTACGCAGAATAGATACAAAAGAGTGGTCGAGACAGAACGGCAAAGATTGAGAAAGGTCTCCGTTAAATCTACTGAGTTGCGCCGTAGGGCGGTTCTAAACGAATACAGAGTTCAGTCAAATAGATTAAAAGAAGAAAAGAAGCTCCTTCCTTTTTATCCGAAGCAAGGCTTTTACAACCAAAAGTAAGTTCGAGTAGAAATTTATATGTATTGGGTGTAAGATTCGCGAGTAGGTTATTTACTGAAGGCGCGCTTTTGATTGGCTCTAATTCATAGGGGGACCAACGCGCTGAGATTAAAATTAACGAAGAAATGACGCCGGATTCTTTTAACCTAATATCACGCATTCTGTAGTTAGCAATTCAATTTTCATCTGAGGGAAAATGTGGTAAGGCGCCAGCTTTGTGTGTTCCGGGCGTTTCTGTAGTTTCTTGTTTTAGCTCACGTTCTTTAATCGCGAATGTTATCAGTTGGGTTTAGACGTCACCTATGATTGCCAAACTAACAGAGTGACATGAGGTAACAATTGCACAGTCTTTGATAATAGATATATATCGGATGCCTAGGGGTGGACCACATGAATAAAGGGAGGGGAGGGGTAAACGATTTAAACAATTTTAGTACACGAAAGTTTTCTCGAACGTTTTTAAGTATTTAGGCATTACAGTTTACTCTTTGGATGGTTAAAAATACTCAAGTATATCCCAGCTATGTTCCGGTCTGCTCTTAGGAATATTTTTTGGATAGCTTAGCCTGGGGCTGATCTGTTTTCTGCCTTGATTTGTAATGTTCCACTCCCTCTTGAATACACGAAATATCTACACAATTTTTTTTCAAACTGAAAAACGGTTTGCTAGTGTTTCTTGTAGTGCCACCATAATGAGTAACCAGTTCAAAGACGTTAAAAGTTAATACGAACTTAACAATTGGTTAGTATACTTTACTTACATGGTGACTTATACAATACTATGCCTCGCTTCGCTTTAAACCGTTTTAGACTGTTCTGAAAATATACTGTATTCTCAACAAATAATATGCGATGTTAATTTCAATTTCAAACAATCATATCATAAGCTTAATTTAAAACTCGGAGGAGAATTTCCCTCTTCATCCCGTGTTAAGAATTTCCCGTTAGGACAATGCTTTCTCGAAAATTCTTGAACTGAAAGCAAGCCCAGTAGAAAGTAGCAACTGCAACAAAAAGACAAGAACAGGAGAAAAAGGAAAAGCCAAAAAAAGAAAATAAGCCGAAAAGTCTTAAAAAGTTGGTTTAGACTTTGGTGAATGCCCGTGGAAAAATCGTTTTCAGCCGTACACTTTATCGTTCACACGAATCGCTTGTCCAACACGCGTCGAGTAATTTTGCCATTGGTTCTGAAATTTCAGTTTTGGTTTTCTGTCTGATGTAGTTTGCCTGCTGTATTGCTGTTGGTTCGCATTTACAATAAATTGCTTTGGAAATCCTTGAATCCTCCTCGTTCCTACTCGCTCGACTGCCGCATCCTGTGTCATTAATTGCGAGTGTTCTCTCAACTTCCCAAGTGGGTTATCATTCCGGTAAACCAATAGAAAGTGCGGTCTGTTGCTTTTACCAAAAATACTGTATCTCTATGATGACAGTTGATCCAAAAAGAGTTGTCAAATCTACATAGTGTCTTCAAAGCGTTTTGTGGGTTTTTTTGTATGTCTTTGCAGAGAATAACCTTAATTTTCGACTGTGAAGCCATGTTCAGTCAAGCAAATTATTATGAGTAGTACTGGTACACAACAGAGTTAGAAATTCCAAAGTCGATCATTACTTCAAATAAATACAAGCTTTTGGGTTTTATTCAGGAAGGATTTGTTGTTTTGTTTCTATTTTTCTTTTCCGTGATGTACTGACCTGTTTTTCGTCTTGAAAACCTACTATTCTCGAGTATAGTTTTGCTGTTTTTCCGTGGCAAAACAGGTGAGAATCACCCTCCTCTCCAGCGTTTAGTAACTGACTCAAATCAAAGCGAGGCGGAACATTTGCGACAGAAAACTTTTTCATTTTTTGTAATTACCTGACAAAACCTTGTCTTAATCTCGGCTTGTAAAAGCTTTTTTCTCGTAAGAGCTGAAGTACGATTTTCCACAATATTACAGACTAGATCGAGTCCTATTAGTTCTTGCAGCTGGATCTGCGGGTCCTAGATTTCCGTGCAAAGACTCTGAATAGTTTTCTGTTTTCACAAACACTTTAACATCTAACATGCATATTCATTTCCCGATAAACAAGAAAAAAATTCTGCCGAACTAAAAACAGACGTCTGCTCCTAAAGAAATTATTTCACGGTCGCCTGTGAAATAGCCTCGAGGTTATAATTTCAAAAAAATTAGTTCACCCGCAATTGAAGAAACATAAAAGAGAAATATAATTGCGTCAGAACCAAGCTGGAAGAATAAAAACAAAGAAGACCACACAATAGAGTTGCAATTAACAGTTTCCGTCAAATAAGAGTTGTTTTGAACAGTCAACCATTGTCTACTGGCACAACACAATATATTCTACCCTGGGGGCTTTTAGCTATGCAAAATTTACGGTAACAAACAGCTTACTATCTAAAAGCTTTTGTACTCCTGAAGCGCAGCTGATTGCTCAAACCGACTAATTGACTTCAAAGTAGAAAACAGATTTTCTTTTTTCCCCGTAAATGTTTGTAACGTAAGAAAGCTTGTGATCTATTACGTAAAGATAGCTAGTGGGGTGGAGACCACGAGCAGTTCAACAGAAGAACAAAAACACTTTAAAAAAGGCAAGTTTTGTCTGATATACTCTACGAGGTCAGGTGAACACACTGCGATGCGTGGGATTCAAGCCAAGAGGAACTGGTGCATAATTTCTCCTTACAGTGTCACAACTGAATCAAATTCAAAAGTCATGAGAATTAGGCAAGTGATCACCAATTTCAGAAACTCTTGATTGTTAAACAAATTCTTCTTGTCAGAACCTTAGGAAATGTTTAGCTAACAGTATGGAGAATATACATATTGATGTTAGGTTGTAAAGGGTTAACATTTGAAGATGTGTCTGATCCGCTATCCCTTTTACTCACAAGATCTCATTATTAATTCTCCTTACTGTGAGCCACAAAATTCTAATGAAGTTAGTACGGAGAATTGGGTATTGTTTCAACTAATAATTCCTTAATTGATACTTTTCTTTATTCTCATCGCTTGTCTGTTTGATATTGTATTGATATTGTATTGATATTGTATTGATATTGTATTGATATTGTCAGGAGAAGTTCTGTCTTGGTCACTCATAGGAGTTAAAGGGTTTAGTACATAGAAAATGGGTACGATGAATTTCTTTGTTTGACATGCTGTGTAAGATAACGTCAGATCGCTTGATCTTGCGGCTAAAATAATTGGGCGTCTGGTTTAAAGGAGCCGCGCATTATTGAGATCAGGAGCCAATCACTTTGTTTTTAGCAAATTTAAAAGATCATGACACAGGGGCGTTGTAAGCGTTTATAGGGAGGTACGCCGGGAGTAGGGCTGGTAAACATTTCTGTGCACCTTACGTGTATTAGCTTATACTGTTGCTCTTTTTTCGCGTATAGCGGGCTCGGTAAAGAAAGGAAGGCCTTTAGAAGGGATTATCTGGCGCTGGGAAAGATTTACACTATGCATGTAAAGATTCCTCGTAATCGCGCGTTTTCTTAAATCTGAATTATAAGATTTTTATGTGATACACTTAAAAGAGAATTATCTGAGAAAAGACAGGGGAAGGGAAGGAGGGCAAAGCACCTCCCCCACTCCCCTAAATGAATTAAGCCATATTTTGACTTGAGGATGATAACAAGTACCAGGACTCCTTACCACAGGCATCTCAAGCTCGATAAGAGGTAATAGAATTTTGATGCTTTCTTACATGATACACATTTTGTCTTCCAAAGTCCGCTGACATCAATCAAACTCGATCACAAGCAACGACAAAATGTCGCAAAATCGTATCAATTTGTAACCGAATTTTTCAATATATGGTATGATTTTGGTTATTGAACTTCGGCCGGTAGTGTCTACTTTCTTCGAGAATGAGTAGGAATCTTCTTCGTGGCATAAACAAGCTAACTCAACTTCACCACTAACGGCCCCCAAAATGGGCCTCCAAGCTGAAAAATATTCCACGATAATACGTTAAGGTAAGGTAATATGAAAAAAGCTTTACTCAGAGCTCTCAAGTTTGACATCTGGTAAAGGGTGAAACGTTCGACCACATATCCATCGAGTGTAATGCCGCGCTCGGCCATCACGCATCGGGGGTGGGGTATGTAAGGAGGCATTCTCCCCCGGAAAAATGTAAAAAATGTATCTAAGACGTATACCCCCTTATTCTTGTTCTGAGCATTTATGAACAGAGACCACTGTACTGGTCTGCAGTCAGCATGTGACTGACTAACTTCTCACCAATAGAACAAAAGGAAAGTAATATCAAGTTTATTATCTAAAACCTCTGGTACTTGGATCTCAAACATTTTTGTAGGCCATGGAAAAATTTATGTTAACAAGGAAAGATCTATTGTAGATCGGAACATATATAATTTATGTGTTCTCTTTTAAGTGGTTCTGATGGAACTTAAAGTATTTTTGTTTTGTAGCTTGCTCAGCGTGATACTCCAATACATCAGAGGAATCTTCCCACTCTCCCAAAAGAGTTTTCATTATTTATTAAAAGGGATGACATGACAGGAAGCACTCTGTCTGGAAACAAGGTACACAGCTTGGAATTCAGTTCTTGATCAACATTTTTAATTAATAAATGTTAAGATGTGGCATTATCTTCATCAACAATAAGTGAGCTTAGTAAGATGAGGTTGGTGCAGCCACAGGAGATCCAGCAAGAGGTTGCACAATTTATTTGGAATGCCTGTAGTTTAAAGAAGAACTCTTTTTTAAGTTCAGTAGGAAAACAAGACAACAGTTTGTTTGGCATCCACTGACTGTGCTAGTCAGTGGAAGATGACACTTACCATATTTATTCAAACACAGTGGGGTTTATTAAATTTTTCATGATTCGAGTTTGGCATTTATTCTAGGGTGGTGTTTATTCTACAGCGACATTTATACAAGGGCAGTGTTTTTTAATTATCCAATTTGTTTCTTGCAAACAATAGTATGGTAACTGACCATTTTAATTTTAAAGAACAGAAAAATGTTTTAGTGCTTGTCTAAGAGTATTGTTTATATCATTCTAAAATTCCCAATTTTGCATCAGACCTGGTACATTCAAAAGGATGTGTCTGATTCACTCAAAATTTCCAACTGTGATTGAAGCATTGATCACATCATGATTCTGCATTTATTCAAGGGTAGCATTCATTTTAATTAATAATAAATATGTTATGTACTAATTAAACTGCTCACATCAAAAAGAGAGGAAGCTCACAGCGGTTACATTTTTGCCAGCCTTTTTTGAGAGTACAGATATTTTTTTTAGTGACTGCTACTTTGGTTTTCAAGTTTTTATTCTCTTAAATTTAAGTCTTTACAGCTTATGATATTTTTTGTATAGCTGAGGGTCTCAATCAAGAGACAGCTGAAGATGGTTCAACTTAGAATTTTGCATGTGAGCAATGAAAATCTGTGTATGAGCACTATTGTTTGAAAATATTGCAATGTGGAAGCTGATGTTATGCTAAAACAAATGCAAAAGAGAGTATAGTAGTTCTAATGCAAATGACAATAATATAATATAACTTTGCAATCATCTGAGTAAAATGACCATAATTATATGGAAATATGTAGCTTCAATTGTGTCTGTACCTGTGGTCAAAGTCATCTCATATCTTTTTCTTACTAACCCTTTGAATGACTAGTATCTAATTTCTCCTTACAAATCAAGCCTTGATCACATATTAAGGTTATGGGAATAAAGAAAATGATCACCCACTTAAGAAGCTCTTGATTGTTAGACAAATTCTCCTTGCCAGCACCTTAGGAAATGTATACAGAACAGTATGGAGAATATGTATACTGATTTGAGTGTGTAAAGGGTTAAGTGCATCCTCAACTGCTGAGTGACCTTAAATTGTGCTTGTCTCATTCAGCTATGCCAATGTTGTTTTAGGTTCGTAAGCTGGAGTTTTGTTGGCTGATGCCCTGGACAAGAAGTGTGACACAATATTTACTTGTGGTGGAATCCAGTCCAATCATTGCAGAAGCACTGCAGTTGCTGCTAGACAACTTGGTTGGATTGTTACCTGTTCTTAGAAAGAACTGATGCAGAAGATTTTAAGCTGCTTGAGTCATGATCAAAGATCTGTTACCCCTAAGCACATGTTATTGGCAATTAGACAAAGAGTGATGCCCATGTGATCTATCACTAATGATAACTTAACAAACACATTACAACATGGAATCTCAGAACTTTTTCTTTTACCACACTCACAACAAGATGAAAAGCATCTTTCTATATTTCTTTGCCAAGCTCAAAACCTACAATCTTTGTTTTTTTTTATTTGCAAATAAAAACTTGAAAACCAAAGTAGCAGTAACTGTAAAAAAAGATGTCTGTACTCTCAAAAAAGGCTGGCAAAAATGTAACCCCTGTGAGCCTCCTCTCTCTTTGGTGTGAGCCGTTTAATTAGTACATAACATATTTATTCACATTGCATTGAATAGTGGACTCATACGAAGATGAGATGAGAAGATTCACAACTACACTGTCACATATTTTAGTTGAGCACATGTTTCTTTGAGATTTGAAGCAGACAGGAAAAACTGCATAATAGGCTGCTAACAGAAGTTCAATCTTTACTCTAATGTTGCTCATTTCAAAGGAAGAAGGGCACCAATAATTTTGCTTCACATAGATGACTAAATTTTAAGAAAGTTAGCAAACTTATTGAAACTTTCATTTGATCTTTTTTTCTTCATGCAGACCATGGATATTGGTTGTAAAGGAAACTGACATTAGGCTTTGATTTTAGACAGAGCTATCACCAAGTGACAGTAATGAAGCAGCTCATTGTATTATAATTGTCAATGAAAATATTGAAATTCTTTTGAAGAAATTTGTGTTGCAGCCATTTTACAGTGGAATTGACTGTGTATTAATTTACTAGTAACAGGTTTAGATGTAGGGATAGATCTCACTGGCAGAACTTGCTTGAAAGGTTTAAAAAAAACTGCATGAATTTACTGCAATTCCTGGGACATTTTAGTTGAATGGTACCATCTTTGGGGTGTAAACTGATGAAAAATCATGATGGCTGCCACCCTAGCCCATCTTCTAAAACATGAAGGCGAGCAAAAATATTACAGGAGCTGCTATTGGCTCTCAAGTTGGTTCCTTTTAAAGGAATTGGAAATCAAGTCATATCTTAATGCAGCCTTTTAGGTGCTAATCTTAGAGTGTCAGAAATCTTGAGATGTTTAATAGGCCATGGTACAGTTCTGTACTTAGTTGCCAAGCCTTTGATTTGGAGTGAGGCTGAAGGTGACCTTGTTGTGATAGAGACCAGTACCTAGTTAGCTTAACAACAAAGCAATTTACATTGGAAAAATAGCAAGGTTTGTATCATAACAAATTCACCCTTAGCCTCACTCCTGTTGAAAGTGTAAATTGGAGATGATTTTTTTTGGAGAAATTAGATGCTAATCACTCCTAGGGAATAACACACCTAATTAATTTGTAATGGAGGTAAATTTTTTCTACGGTTTCCCTATTTTAAAGTGATTCCCAGTGTTCTCCTTTATTTTAAGCATGGCAGGTGAATACATTTTCAAAATGGTAAAGCAATCCTTTTACCAGTTGAATTTTCAAGAATTCCAAGCAATTTTAACCCTTTCACTCCCACAAGTGACCAAGACAGAATTTCTCCTTACAATATTAATAAAATATCAAGCAGGCAGGTGATGAGAATAGAGAAGAATATCAATCATGGGATTATTAGTTGATCCAATACCAAATTCTCTGAACTAACATAAGAATTGTATGGCAGATAGTAAGGAGAATTACTAATTGGATCTTGGGAGTGAAAGGGTTAAAGGGTGATAAGAGGTATTATACAGGTGGTAAATGTTGCTGGTTACTGTCTGAAAAGGAGAACACTGTATTCCAAATTTCTTGTTGGCTAGGAAGTTATATAACCCACACAGGAGACTGATAGATTCTGTTCTGTCGTATGACTCTCAGGAAATGCTAAGAAAACTCAAGAGAGTTGTTATTATTAATAATTACTATACTACATGAGTAAAGAAGGTAGCACTGATATTGGAGAATTCTTGAATTAAGTTTTGATGGGCTCAGTTATTTTTGACCCAGTTCCTTCCTGCTAACTTTGTCTGCTTTTTTTTCAGGAAGGAACAGGGCTCATCAGTTTATCTGATTGAAGTTGGAGGCTCCTCTTACATGGGGATGTTTGGTTACTTAACAGCATTTCAAGAAATGCTAGATCAGGTAAAATTACAGACTTTTTCTGTATTGTGTGCTCATTTTGTGCATTTCTGGTCAAGAAGTCATGAATTCAGTTAAACACTGATCACACAAAAGCCTGTCTGTTAAAAGATTTTTTTCTGGATATCTTTGAAAATGTTGGCTTTGTTTGTTTCAGAATGTGCTGGAGAATTTTTAATGACATTGTTGTTACAGTTGGCAGTGGTGGAAGTGCATCAGGAATTGCCATTGCTAACTACTTAACAGGATTAAAACTCAAGTACGCTCTAAATAGAAATATTGATATTTTCTTTCTTGACTGTGTGGGATGGCTGGACAAGAAAATATTTGTCTCAAGGTTATAACATATAGACCTCTCTCTGATCAATCTGTTAGTTATGCCCAGAGGCCAAATGTTTTCCAATCTGACCTGTCTTGTCTTAGTCATTAGGGATTTTATCATTTGACCAGCACTCTTTGTCTTCTTTCTTTTTGCTGTTTGCATCTCAGGAGGCCATATATAGAGCTCTGCTGTTATTTATGGCACCACTGCCACTACTGCTTTTCTTCATCTGAAGGATTTGATTTTTTACAATGTTTTTCATTGAATTTACATCCAGGGATTTACTGGTCTTAGGATAAATAATAATTATTAATAATAGGACTGAGTGGAATTCAATTCAGTCTGTGATCTTATGAGTGATTAATATAATTAGATGACTGTGAAGTGGGAGTCCGATATGTTAATGTTAACACAAAATCCTGTTACCAATTAATCAAAATTATGACAAAATTTAAGAAAGAAACCAGATGTATTGGTTATGTGTTTTTGTAACAGGGTGTGCACATGACACATGCTGTCCACTCATAGGCATGACATGTCAACTGTCCTGTTACACTGTTCAGTAAGAGGCATGACATATGCAGTGTCCTATTAGTGCTTAAATTGGGCTGGTGATAACTAATCACATTGGAGTTTTTTGTTATAGTTGCCACTGAAATGCTGTATCACCTTTCAGGAACCCCTGACAAACTATATCATGCTGCGGAACATTATGAAAAAGCTTACCAACCTATAGGCTGATAAAAAATTTCTGCAACTACCTAAGCTATACATGCTGAAGATTTAAGCCAAAGAGATTGTGCCCTTGAGAATTTCTCACAGGCCTTTCTATCATTCTAAAATTTTCCCCTTGTTTTCCTTGAACACTGGAGACTAATTGAGACCTGTAATAGTAACATCATTGTCATTTATTCATAGATGTCATGCAGTGAATGTGTGTGATGATGCAGCATATTTTTACCAGAAAATCAATGAAGACCTTCAAATAGGTGGGCTAAATGTTCTAGCAGAAGAAATAATTGAATGATATTATTGATGGATACATGGGACAGGGCTATGGCAAATCCACTGAAGAAGAATTAGTTTGCAGATTTTGGTTTCTTCATAATAGGACTAGTACTCAAGCAGTCCCTCCTTTTTCAGAGAAGTCTGTTGGGCAAAAAGAAAAAAAACAATGAAAAAGGTTGACGTAAGCTCCTAGCAGCACACTTACCTTTTTTCACTGATCTTTTTTTTTTGAGTCACGCAACTTTCATAGACTTTGCCCAAAAGGATGGATTTCTTGTAGTCTTCTACATATGTTACATAATAACCTGCTTATTTTGGTACTGGAATGAAATGCAAGTTGAAGAGAGTTGTTTCTATCTATCAGTAAACAACCTTTTCAAAACATGAAAACATAAGAAATCATGCCTCTCATTGCCTCTTGTTCCTTTACTAATGTTAAGCATGGAAAATTTGTTTTCAGAATGCTGTTTGGCTGACAGTATTTTGATTTAATTCAGTGCGAGTTAAAAGCTGAAATTTTATTGCTGAAAGTTAAAATGACATGTGCTCTGTTAACAAGGGATCAGTGTATTTGTAAATACAATGTAGAAGGAATGATCACTCAATGATGTTCCAAACCACAAAGTTTACCTGCCCCCACTCTCCCTCCCCCCCCAATTATACCACAGGTTTATGCAAGACAATAATAATGGATAATTATAGCTACAATTATTAAAATTTATTGTTTATTTATTCCAGGATGCATTCGAAATTGCTTGATTACCAAATAAAAACATGATCTAAATTTTTCATAACCATTTACATTCGAATTTGCACCTTACGAACCCTGAAATCTTTTTATCGGTTAATGAAGAGGACATTGTGGAGATATCCAGAACAACTGGTATTATGGTGGACCCCGTGTACAACGTCAAAGCCATCAGAGGAATGCTACACGAGATGAACACCAACCCAGGGCGATTTAAGGGTCACAGAATACTTTATATTCATACTGGTGAGTACAATTTTTCAACATCATCATTTGATAAATACCATACCTCCTTCCTTCCCTTTGGCTAAGAGCCCACATACCTTGAAAATAATGGTTTCTCAAAGGTAATCCCTTAGAACTGCGTTTTTCCCTGCAAATGATATTCTGCTCATGCGTGGTTGTGCTGGCTTAATTGTGTATATCATATTTTTCTCAACCTGGTACGTAAATTGCAAACTTGGGACCCCATTTTTGATCCCTCGTAGAAGTATCAGTGGTTCGTAACTTGTACTACAGTTGCATGTAGCATGTACTTTCTTTCGCGTGGAAGCAAAATATTATACATTAGACTGACTATGAGGACTCTGATTGGTCGATAGGATACAGTCGATATCCAATAGCAGATATTGGGTTCTCATGTCGCGTTTAAATTATGCCTAGTTTCCAAGCCCCTCGTCCGTGTAGTGTTCTCAAACTCTTGCAAAATCAGAGAGAAGATTCTTCTTTTGCAAATTGTTTCCAAAAATGTATGATGAATCAGTTATTGAATTTGGTTTTTAGCATGATATTGTAAATTATTAAACCTGGCATCTGTGTTATCTGCCTCGACCTTCGGCTTCGGCGGATAACTCAGACCCCGGCATTGATAATTTATGATATTATGCTCAACCTCATTAAATAATTGCTCATTATTATTCAATTGCACTTAGTAGAGTACGTGCGAATCGAGTGAAAATTTCCTGTGATATTGTACATTTGGTTATTTTGTACTGTAAAAAAACTTGTTTAATCGGTTTGCTGCGCGTGCTGCACTTCTCTACCTGCGTCGCTTTTCCCACTTTTTGAAAAATGGCCATGAAATAAAGCAGTTGGGCAATAAATAACTTATCAGACGTTTTGGTGTGTGGTATCGCTGGGTATATTTACTCATAGTTTGTATTTTGACTCGCCTTGCGGGATCGTCAAAATATGCCACAACTAGTAAAAAATAGTTACCGATACTACACACCAAAACTTCTGATAACATATATCTTTTGATGGAAGACTGAATACGACAACATCCACAGGTAATAAACGTTCATATATCGCTTAGAGGATGGTATTACCACTCCTTTGAAAATGGCGAGACCTGATTTGTAACATTGTTATATAATGCGAGTTTCGCACAAGTCTGATAGGGTGTGTCTTATTTTCCAACAGGTGGTGTGTTCGGTTTGTATGATGGAAGAATGGACCCGTTAGTAACTCGCCCTGCACTGGGTATAAATGATGTTGTCTGCTGGGAAATGATCCCATGCCATTCTGGGGCTGACTCGTTCGTAGTTGTCTCTCTTATTTGAGATATTTAGGTAGTGCTCGAGAGGTCCGCGTGTAAAAAGATTTTCTTTCGTTTCCCATCGTTCCCTTTGTTAATGTAGTGCTAATCTCTCGCGAAACCCTCGGCCGCGCAAGAAAGACTGGAGCTAGTAAATTTTAGGGTGGCAAGCAAGAAAGGTCAGTCAAGACATGCCTACATTCTTTTTTGGCGTCATCCAGTAAAATTGGCCACGAAAGAGGAGATAACAGCATTGCATTGACTCCTCCAATCATCAGAGGGAAAAAGTCTTTGACCAAGTTCTCGTAAGTTTACATATCGAAGACGAACGCAACAAATTATTGGACTGGAAAAAAATGTTTAAGCCTTTGAAAATATATTCGTGTAAAAGTGTAAAGATTTAAAGTTTTGAATTTTTTGTTTGATTTATACACTTATATCTTTGATTTTAGACTAATAAAAGGTCACGCTATATCCGCTTTTCAGTATAACAAATTCTATTTTTGGATCAAATTTGACAAGCACATTTTGGTGAGTTTTGCAATTGCTTGGGGCAATATTTGGATTCCAAGTTTTGTTTTCTGCCCAACGAGGATTTCGACAAAATTGATGCCTCTGAATCAAAGGGCAATCAGATGGGCATCGGGTACGTTCGAAGAAAAGTTTCCCGTTTATTGGATCTATATTGCCGAAGACCTTTTTTACAGTTCTGTGGCTTTGTGTCAATTAAATTGTGAACAATTCACCTTCATAAACTTTGCCCGCCTCGTGTTGATTGCGTTCGCAGTGTTTTACGTGAACATCGTCGGTGCAATGAGGCTAAGGACCGCTTCCATGTAGGTTGAAAGCTGACTTCTTTGAATAAATGTGTATCTCCAACCCTAAGTTTATCATCTTTCGATGACCAGCGAGGATTGTGTAGTCGTAATAATGGCCTCGCCAATTTATACCGGTCAAGATCCCAACCGATGTAGCAAAAACCATCGTTTATTCGTGCCTTCGCAACAATCAGCAATTTCAGGAAAACCTTGCGCAAACCGCTTGAATCCATTATTTAGAGATTTTAATCCCTACGATGCACCGATACTTTCGATCGATCTGTTACATAGGAAGGCTTTTGATTGCTTTCATGCTAATCCGTTTCTTCCAAACGGTCTCTCACGTGAATCGGTCCATAATTTTTGTTAGGGAGGATCTCACAGAACTTCATCCCGACAAGAATGCTTTATTTGCTTTTCACTTCGTTGCAGTCCGCTTTTACGCGCATGGATTCTGAATTCTGGCGTTTTAAAAACTAGAATGAAATTTCTCAATCTCCCGGAGAACAACTCGCTCGGAGTGATTTGCAAAACAAATAGTAGCTTGTTCAAGTTCGCAGAGAAACATCAGCCGTGAATTTTCCAGAAAATTTTTTCGAAATGTTGTGAATCTTTTATTATGGAAATTACTTACGATGGCATGCATGCGTGACTTGTGTATTCGACATGAACTGATTCACGGTACGTTGTTGTCTGAGAGTATTTCCACCTTGCGATTATACTTTGGTACACAGTGACTCTGGTAGATGAAAGGTGAGAAATTATTTTTAATATTCGAGCCTTAAAGGAAACATTTTATCGTTGTTTTACTTGGCTCTGTTATTGTTAAACTTAAGCTGGAGTCCAATACACCTATGATCACACTGTACATTAAAGCTTACTGATTTATTATGCGAATATCAACCAGTGATATTCTGAGATTGAAACAGCCCTGTACGACCATTATAGAGCACGTAGAAAAGGAAAAAGTAACATTTGATCTGTTTGATTTAACTGGAAGAATAACAGATGCTTGCTTTGAAATGTGTAAATGTACATACGGAAAAAATATCTTCGTGGCTAACATTAACTTCGGCCGTTCCTTTGTCGATCTGTTGTCGACTGATCAGCAAACGGGAAACAAGTTGGCTGTCAGTTTTCTCATCACTTTCAAATTGATTTTTTCTGGATGAACACGAAAAACGTGGACAATGAATTTGAGAGGCATTCAAGTTTTGATCTTTGACACAACTGGATTAAAGGTTTCCTTCTCAACTTTCCGCAAAGTTCTCTGTTTTGAGATTATTGCATTGAACGTTTAACTTTGGCTTCAGCTAGGGAGCTTGATGATTTGAAACTTTAGGAGTGGAAACACAATTACTTTTTGTAAAGGATTCCTATCAGTTGAGTCATTTTGATGTCTATCGGATATCTTTGAATCATTTCGTAACAAGAAAGGTTTGGAAAACTTTTTGAGTCAGTCAGCCATGATACTTTGGTACACTCTGGCTCTGATAAATAAATTGTAAGAAAACTTGACTTATTAGACGAGCCTTAAATTACACCTTGTATAGCTGTTTTACTCAGTTCTGTCATTGTCCAACTTAAACTGGAGTTTTATACGCTTTAGATCATACTGTTCATTTGATTTAAGCTTGTTTATTGTACTATCATCAATTGCAACCAGTGGTAAATTTAGATCGAATTAGCCTCATACGACCATTATAGAGCAATTCGAAGAGCTAAAAGCAAAATTTTGTCTTTCTGATTCGATCGAACTTATGAACGTATGTTTGTTCTGAGAACGTTTCGTATACAGTAAAAATTTCCTCGTGGCTGCCATTAATTTGGCAGTTCCTGTCACGATCTCTGGCTTCGCTCTGATTCTGTTTCTTAGCTATAGGACTCTAATCATTTGAGTCTTTATAATTCGTTCTGGATGTCTCTGAATTACTTCGCAACGGGAAAAAGTTTTGGAAAGTGTGTAAGTCCGTCAGCCATGAATGACTTTGCGGTTTTTGAACTGACTTTTGCGACTGATATTTGATAAAGTCAGGAAGCTTTTGCTGAAATGCTGATTGCATGCTTCGACAAAGCTATTTTTACTTTGACAGCAGCGACTAAATTTTCTTAATCTTACTGACAGCTGTCTTGTGATCTTCACCAGCGACAACACCATGCTAATGCAGGAAACCGTAATTAGTTTTGAGGATGTTATGCTTACGAAACTGAAAGTAAGACTTTGCATCTCTCGATCTTCTACGCAGTCTGTAACTATTGCAAAAGAGACTTGCTTTTCAAGCAAAGGTTTTCTTCTCTAACTCTTGATTTATCGTTAGGTTTCGTAGTCTTCGACGCTTACTGTTAGTATTTTACTTTTAGGTACATAGCAAACTACGCATTTTGTGGGTAATCAGCCGAATTATATTTAAAAAGCATTGTCAGATAGTTTTCAAATAATGTCGCGCCAATTAATTCATCCTAAACGCGAAGGATAAAACAAAGTAAATTATTAGAGAGATGAGAAAATATAAGAGAGAGAATAATGGATTGCAGATGATCTCATCAAGGATTCATCTTTGAGATTATAAAATGCAAACTCATGTGAAGTTATTTTTCTGTGGTTCTGCCCAAATGATCATGAAAAATGACCTCCGGCGGATAATAATCTTCTAGAATACCAAACATAATTTAACGATAAAACTATCTGGTTTGAAAAGCAGGATACTCATGTGAGAAACGGCTATTTTCCCTATGAAATCAGTTTCCGCTTTCAGTCATACGTTTGGTAGTTGGACTTTAATTGTTCATACAGCAGAGTTAGCTCGGTAAGATGCAAATTGTAATCGTTTTGTTTATTATTTTCATTGTCATCTACCGACCGTTCAACTATCACGCGATAGAAATCTCGAGCTCCTAATCTAACTGTTATAAACAGAGTTACATCTAAGAGTCAGAAGAGGCTTTCAGGAAGAGCTTAAACAAAAAGAAAGAAGAAAGAAAGAATTATAAAAGGGGCTTGGAGATCTGACTCGGGTATTTCATCATTAGACATTATTGTTGTCTGTGATATTTTCTTTGCTCCGCGTCCAAGGGAGCTTACACCCTTGCGAAGATTTGCACGAGACATTATACCTTGGAAAATTTGCGGCAGAACACTAGCCGTGAATGTTCCCGAAAATGTTTTTAGAGATTTTGTGAGTCTTTTATTATGAAAATTATCTTTGAATGCATGCATGCGTGAGTTCTGGTCGCGACAAGGACTGATTCACGGTATGTTGTTGCGTAGTCTTGGATCATTTATACGTTGCGATGATACTTTGGATCACTTTGGTTCTGGTAAACCAAATGTAGGAAAACTTAAGTTATTATTCGAGCCTTAAATTACACCTTGCATGGCTACTTTACTTCGTTCTGTCATCGTCCGACGTAAACTGGAGTTTTATACGCTTATGATCATACTGCACATTTAATTTAAGCTTGTTTATTGTAGGTTCAATTGCAACCAGTGATTAATTGAGATTTAATTACCTTTATACGACTATTAAAGGGCACTTCAAAAAGGTAAAAGCAAAATTTTGTCTCTGATTCGTTCGGACTAATGAACGTATGTTAGTTCTGGAAATGAGTTCAAATACAAAAGCAATTTCCTCGTGGCTGCCATTAATTTGGCTGTTCCTGTCTCACTCTGTTGTCAACTGGCCTCGCTCTGAGTCTCTAAGTTTTCTCATGACTTTCAAGTCGATTGAGTAGTTCATAAAAACTCTTATATTTCATTTCAAACAAAGCTGGAAGAAAAATTTGGGAGGTATTTTCGTTTTGATCGTGAACACAACTGGATTGAAGTTTTCTTATTCAACTTCCCCGCAAAGTTGTTTGTTTTGAGATTAATACATCAGTAAAAGTTTAACTTTGTTTTCAGCAAGTGAAATCGTTTATGTGTTACCTTTATGGTCAAATAAAATTCTTTCTTAGTCTTTTTTATTGTTATTGGATGTCTTTGAATCATTTCGTAACAAGAAAAAGTTTTGGAAAGTTTGTAAGTTAGTCAGCCATGAATGACTTTGTGGTTATTTAATTAGTTGACTTTCGCGACGCAATACTTGTATATTGTAATTGAGACTTGCTTTCAAGTAAAAGTCTTCTTCTCTGACTCTTGATTTATCGGTAGACTTCGTAGTCTTTGTCAATTACCTTAAATGTTTTGCTTTTGGGTACATAACAAACTACGCATTTTGTGGGCAATCAGCCGAATTATATTTAAAACGCATTGTCACATAGTTTTAACATAATGCCGCGCCAACTGATCCTAAACCTAAAGGATACAACTAAATAAATTATCATAAAGATGGAAAAATATAGGAGAGAAAATAATCAACTAAAATATATACGTGGATTGCAGATGAACTGCTTCAAGGATTCATCTTTGAGTTAAGAGTATGCAGACTCATGTGAAGCTATTTTGCTGTGGTTCTGCCCAGATAATCGTGAAAAATGACTTTCAGCAGATAATTATCTTCGATGATACTAAACAAAATTTGAGGATAAAAATATCTGGTTTGAAAAACAGGATCCTTTTGTGAGAAACGGCTACTTTCCCTGGGAAATCAGTTTCCACTTTAAGTCATGCGTTTGGAAGAGGGAATTTAATATTCATACAACAGAGTTCACGCGGTAAGATGTAAATTGTTATTTTTTTTTATTTATTCTCACTGTTATGCACCGACCGTTCAACTATCACGCGATAGAAATCTCGAGCTTCTAATCTAACTGTTTTAAACAGAGTTACATCTAAGAGTTAAAAAAGCTTCTTAGGAAGAACCCAATCAAAGATAAAAAAGAAAGAAGGGAGGCATGGAGATCTGACTCGGGTATTTCATCATTAAATATCATTATTGTAGTCTGTAATGTTTTTCGTCTGTGAAACATTATACCTTGAACATATTTGCGGAAAGACTAAACTTGAAGGATTCAATAAAATATATTTGATAAGAAAGCTGGTAAAATACAAGAGAGACAATAATCAACTAAAAAATATTGACATGGATTAAAGATGAGATGCTTGAAGGATTAAACTTGGAGCTTTACGATATGAAAAAACTGTAATGTTCTCATTTTTTTAGTTTTGTGTGGTTCTGCCCAAATGGTCATGCAAAAATATTTTCCGCAGTACTGATCTTCTACAATGCCAAATACAGTTCAACTATAAAAATATCTGGTTTGAAAAACAGGATTCTTTTGCGAGAGATGGCTGATTTCTCAAGCAAAAGTCATTTTCTGCTTTCAGTCGTACATTCAGTAGGAAGACTTAAGTTGTACAGACACCACAGTTGAATAAGTTCGATGCAAATTTTTATTGTTTCATTTATTCTCACTGTTACGCACCGACCGTTGTTTGGAAAGAAAAAGATCCTGAAGAACTTCTGTCTGATTGTACATTGTTTGCTGGTTTCAGGAAAATTTTGACAGGTGTGACTCACATACAAGTAATATCTATAGATCGTGTTTAGTGTTGCATACCTTAACCACGTGCACCTCTACTGCACACGTAACTTATCAGTCTGGTAATCAATCCTAGTAATCCATTTAAAAGAATGGAGAAAGTAAGAATATATCAATTCTATATAGTGCACCACTCTCTCTATTTCACCGTTTAATACTAATTGTGTTTCTCTTTTTCAGAAATCTTGACATCATCCCTTTCTTGCATGCCACATATTGAAGGAAGAAAATTCAATTAAAGGTATGTAGACATCCAGTTTGCTCACGTGACCTATGAAGTCCTTTCGTTCAATTTGTATATTTGGGTTCCCATTTGAATTTCCATGTGATCAAAGTTCTACGCTGCATGCGATCTTGCGATAAGGAACTTGATTTAAACTCACATTGCTGTCCATGAGAAGAGTTGACCCGAAGAAAGAGCAGGTACAGACAGAATAGTAAAGTTATTCAGTCCGTAACTTTAACTTCAATAACCCGTTGTTGACTTACGGTATTTCTCTCTCGTAAATGCGTGTGATTACGAATATTTTAATACAAGCCTTTGAAAATAAGTGTATGGCGAAGACATACTTGATACATAAGCTACTTTTTTTCTTTTTTCAGGACGATTGCGTCGCCTCTTCACGAGCTCCGAGTGTAATTATTTCGTTTGAAGGACCGTTCTCGAGAAGATCATATGAACCATAGGACATTTGACCACAAGTAATGTTTGGGACAAATCGTCCAATCTTAGTTATATAGTTAACTAATTTTCCACAAAATGTGGCTCTTATTTGGTGCATATAAGCAGATAAATCTAACAGTGCTAAAACATAACATTTACAGAGAGGCTTTCTTATACAGAAAACCCAAAAAGATAGGGAATATTAATTTCCATAACAAATAATCATTGAGGAGGGTGGGATGGAAAGAAAATGGCGACTGAGGTTCAGTTTGCACTGAGGAGGCTATTGAGCATTTGAACTCTAATCCCAAAGCAATCTTTCTTTGTGCTTCAGCATATAGCTTTACTTCACTAGTAACAGGAACCTCTGAATAGTCTGCAGATGTTAAATTTATGCAACAGCCAATTCGAAGCTAAGTTTCCCAAAAACTATCAATATTTTCCTTCGCAGTTTGTCGAATGACATATTTACATATTAGATTTCCTCAGTTTCAACCTGCTGACTGAAGTTAGCAGACACATGCAGTATCCATGAATTGATATATCTGAAGGTTTTACCACTATAGGATTCCTCTTGAGTTCAATTATTTTCCAACAACCCCTTTTGAGCATGATCGAGTGAAACAGCCTTATGTTGTTTATGCCTTTCAGATTATCCTAAAGCTTTCTTTAGTTCATTACACGTTTCAATAGCAACAATTACTGCCTTAACCCTTTAACCCCCAGATCCAATTTGTAATTCTCCTTACTGTCAGTCATACAATTCTTATAATGTTAGTTCATAGAATTTAGCATTGGATCAACTAATTATCCCCGAATTGATATTTTTCTTAAATCTTGTCACTTATTTGGTTGATAACATATTTATATTGTAAGGAGAAATTTGGTCTTGGTCACTCATGGGAGTTAAAGGAATAAATATGGCACCTTAAATGGAATTTTTGTGACCGTCAATATCTCTCACATTTGATTAATATTTATTTTCTTTTTCTTTTTCAGAAATTATTACATGTCCATCATTTTCTGACTGCTCATATTGTGATTTTTTGAAGGCAGGAAATCTAAACAGGGTAGGTATATATGTTTTTTTTTCCATTTTTTTCCCTCTTTAAATATGATACACATATGTAAGGATTTTTTGTGTCTTATTCTCATGAGAATGAAAAATGTTCATGTTATTATTTGCTATTCTCTTTTTTTCATGAATATCATTTTGCTTTGAATATGAAACATAGTGTTAAAGTAGCAAGATAGGTCACTAATTAAATTTGCATCAATCTTTACCCAGTGGTTCAATCCTTTGAATTTACGCTCAGGAGTATAAATTGAATGTTGTCATCCTTCAATAGTGTTTGACACCATGTCTCATTATGTGGCACCTTGCAGCTGAAATGCATCTAATGATTAAAAAGTTGCTTAGGTCATTACAGGTGTAATGACCAATATAGGATGCAACTGCTCGCTCTAATGCAAGGTTCTGTATTTGTGACCCTCCATATGATTTTTGAGAGAAAGGTGATAGCAAGCTCACAACATGCTTTACTTAAAAACATTTGTGTTTATAATTATCAACTTCCTGACTAGCAAAAACAAAGTTGGAACATTTGGCTGTGAATGAGTTACATTAGGATTTAAAGCAGGCTGACTTTAATTCCTTTTTTCATGTGGAGGTTACTGTAGTGACAGTCAAACATTGGAAACTTCATTTAAGTAACTTTACCAGTACTCGTAATTTACATTGTTGATGTTATTGTTAATCCGGGATACCGATACCTTTTAGTGCCCGTCAACACATATGTCAGCGGACTCGTTCTGTGAAGACGCCATTTTGTGAAGTATATGTAGCACGAGGTTTTTGTAGATTAAAGCCTTTAGAAACGAGGCCAAACGTTTGTTTAACTATCATAACAATTTAATCTACAAAAAAAAACAAAAAAAAACAAATGGATAAAGTCCTCAGGCCCGAGAGATTCAGCGCCGATCCAAGCACGTCTGGAGCATCAAAATCGTGGATTCACTGGCGTCGAACCTTCGAAAATTTCCTCGCCGTATTGACGGAAGAAGGCCTCGATAAATTTGGAGTCCTGACAAATTTTATTTCGCCTGCGGTATTCGAATATGTAGAAGAATGTGCCGACTACGAATCTGCAATCGAAACTCTTCAAAATATTTTCGTGAAGCCGACGAACGAAATCCACGCCAGACACGTGCTCGCTACCAGACGACAACAGGTTGGTGAAACTCTAGACGAATATCTTCAAGCGCTCAAAACTCTCGCCAAAGACTGCAACTTTCAATCTGTCACCGCTGCCAAATATTGTGAGGAATATATACGGGATGCTTTCATTACGGGCTACATTCTAACCAAATACGCCAAAGGCTACTAGAAAACAAAACTCTAGATCTGAAAACGATGTTTGACCAGGCCAGGGCGCTCGACTCTGCCATGCGCAGTTCAGAGAGTTACTCTGTCCCTCAACCTGTCAGCGTTGCAGCCTCAGCACAAGAAATGACCGCTCAGAATCCAATCCAAGTCGACTCTGCTCAGTCAGACTCCACACTCGCTGCAATTGATTCAAAGTGCTTCTTCTGTGGAAATCCTAAACACCCTCGTTCCAAGTGTCCAGCCAGAGATGCAATTTGCAATAAATGTCAAAAGAGGGGACATTTTGCGAAAGTCTGCCGAAGCAAGGCCTCTAAACCCAGCGAAGTTTCAGCTGCTCTCTGGCCACCTACTCTTGCCACCGTAGGAATTCCCCAATCTCTTAAAGGATCAACTGCTACTGTTGTTGTCAACAAGGTCTGGAGTGTAGAAGCACTCTTTGACAGCGCGGAAGCAGTGAAAGCTACATACATCCAAGCCTCGTTGAAGTAGCTACTATCTCTGTTAACCCTTCGGTCAGCCAGGTCTCCATGGCAACATCTTTGTTAAGTACAAAGACCGAGGGCTCTTGCTCTGTTACTATTAACTACCAAGGTCAAACTTATAAAGACTTTCGCCTGTTGGTTATGCCAGGGCTTTGCTCTGATCTGATTTTAGGACTCGATTTTCAGTCTCAACATGATAGTGTCACATTCAAGTATGGCGGAACAAAACTGCCGCTGTCGGTATGCAGTCTCACTACTCTGAACATAGAGCCGCCATCACCATTTTCAAACCTCACTGCCGACTGCCATCCTATTGCTACAAAGTCCAGGCGCTACAGCAAAGAAGACCTGAACTTCATTGGCAATGAAGTAGAACGGTTGCTCAAGGAAGGCATTATTGAGCCAAGCCGGTCCCCTTGGCGAGCACAAGTAGTTGTCACAAAGGATGAGAATCACAAGAAACGCCTAGCTATTGATTATTCCCAGACAATCAATAGATTCACCCAACTAGATGCTTTCCCGCTGCCGAGGATCAGTGATACGATCAACGAAATAGCTCAGTACAAAGTGTTCAGTACCCTTGACCTCCAGAGTGCGTATCATCAAATACCTTTAAGAGAAGATGACAAGCCTTACACTGCGTTTGAAGCTAAAGGTGGGCTTTATCAGTTTACCAGGCTTCCTTTCGGTGTAACCAACGGTGTAGCCTGCTTCCAAAGAGAAATGATGAGATTTGTTGAAGATAACCACTTGAAAGCTGTGTTTCCATACATCGACAACATAACTGTATGTGGAAAGGATCAAGCTGACCATGATGCTAACCTCATATTATTCCAGGAGGCTTCTCAAAAGGCGAATCTTAAATTCAACGACAGCAAAAGCGTCTTCTCTGCTCAACGACTGCCATTACTGGGATATGTCATTGAAAATGGTTCTATTAGTCCAGACCCCGAAAGATTAAGGCCTCTACTGGAGCTCCCACTGCCGCAAAGCTCAAAGGCTCTTAATAGATGTCTGGGACTTTTCTCTTACTATTCTCAATGGGTTCCTTGTTTCGCCGACAGAATTAAACCCATAACCAGCTGTAGATCATTTCCTTTATCTTCTGAAGCACAGAAAGCATTTGAAGACTTAAAGAGGATCATTGCCAAAGCTGCTGTCTCTGCCATAGACGAGAGTATTCCATTTGAGGTGGAAACAGACGCCTCAGATGTAGCGCTAGCCGCTACCCTAAATCAGAAGGGCAGGCCTGTAGCCTTTTTCTCCCGCACCCTTCAAGGTAGTGAACTGAAACACTCTGCTGTAGAAAAGGAGGCTCAAGCAATAGTTGAGTCGGTCAGGCACTGGAGTCATTTTCTCACCGGGTCCCACTTCACTCTAAAAACGGACCAAAAGTCAGTTTCCTACATGTTCAACCAGCGTCATCAAGGAAAGATTAAGAATGACAAGATAATGCGCTGGAGGATTGAACTGAGTTGCTATAGCTTTGACATAGAGTATCGACCAGGCAGAGATAATGTAGCACCGGATACCTTCTCACGAGCCACGTGTGCTTCTAGCGTCAGTGATGCTCTCTACAAGCTCCATGATTCGCTCTGTCACCCTGGGATTACCCGATTATGGCATTTTATTCGAGTCAAGAACTTGCCTTATTCTCTAGAAGATGTTAGGAGGACTGTGAACTCCTGTCCAATCTGTTGTGAATGTAAACCGGTATTCCACCGCCCGGACCCAGTTCAACTTATAAAAGCTACCCAACCCTTTGAACGAATCAACATTGACTTTAAAGGGCCACTTCCTTCCAACGACAAGAACAAATACTTCCTGAATGTTGTTGATGAGTTTTCACGGTTCCCGTTCGTTTTCCCTTGCCCTGATGTGTCTACTCCGACCGTTATAAAGTGTCTCACCACATTGTTTTCTCTATTTGGTATGCCTGCCTACGTGCATTCTGACAGAGGGGCTTCGTTTATGAGTCAAGAGTTACGGGAATTCCTCTCTAGCAAAGGTGTATCTACAAGTCGTACAACCAGTTATAACCCCACATGTAATGGTCAAGTTGAGAGGTACAATGGCACTGTATGGAAGGCGATTACAACGTCTCTTAAGTCAAAGAAGCTTCAGGCAGAACAGTGGCAATTGGTCCTGCCAGATGTGTTGCACTCGATCCGTTCTCTTCTGTGCACCGCAACGAATGAGACTCCGCATGAACGTTTCCTGAACTTTTCACGCCGTTCATCCACAGGTAGTTCGATCCCCTCTTGGCTGGCTGAACCTGGCCCTGTTTATGTAAAGCGTCATGTACGACACAGTAAGTTTGATCCTCTGGTTGAAAAAGCTGAGGTTCTCCAGACCAATACTCACTACGCTCACGTTCGTTATCCTAATGGCAGAGAAACAACAGTTTCAACCAAGAATCTTGCTCCTTGTGGTCAAGTGGAACTTCTAGAACCACCCTCTTCAATCCAGCTCCCAGTCGTTAAACCCAATATTTCTAGTGAGTTTTCTCCCGTCAACGATCATCATGTTGATAAGACGCAAGAACCAACTAAAGAACCAGAACCCACAGAATTGAGGAGATCACAGCGAGAGCGCCGCCCTGTAGATAGGCTCAATTTATAGGAAGGGGTGAATGTAGTGACAGTCAAACATTGGAAACTTCATTTAAGTAACTTTACCAGTACTCGTAATTTACATTGTTGATGTTATTGTTAATCCGGGATACCGATACCTTTTAGTGCCCGTCAACACATATGTCAGCGGACTCGTTCTGTGAAGACGCCATTTTGTGAAGTATATGTAGCACGAGGTTTTTGTAGATTAAAGCCTTTAGAAACGAGGCCAAACGTTTGTTTAACTATCATAACAGTTACTTTTGATGATGTTTGTAGCATGTTGAAGCACAAAATCTTACTCAGTGCTGGACAAATTGTGACGATTGTGTAAACAATTCAACATGTTCAAGATATTCATAAATTGCCATTACATTAGCCATTAACAGCCAATTTGTTCAGTTTCTGTAAAAGTATATCTCATCAGATGACCAGAGTGATTTTTAGAGGATGAAAAAAAAAAACCATCATGGCCCATACCATTGTACAACTGCTTAAATGATGAAATTTAAAATTTTTCATATCCGGCCCAATCATGGATTAAACTTGAGTGTTGTAAATTACCAAAATCCTGGAAAAACACAAGAAAAAATAAAGCCCACTTTATGTTATGGACATTATGAAATAGACATTAAATTACAGACATCACATTATGACATTATATTATGGACATTATGACTGCATGACTTTAATTATGGTAATTCTTTTGGGAGAAATAAATGCTACATGCATACCAATTTTGTTCAAATTTATCACATCCAAGTTTTCAGTATTTTTGACTAAACACTAATAACAATAACCATAACAACAACTGTAAATTAGCAGTTAGCAACACCATGCTGACATGAGGAGTATAAATTTTCAAAAAGTTTGAGTCTAAGTGTGAATTAAGTTTACTGGAAGACATTAATTATATTAAGAGTCAGTACCGTCTTTTATAATATCTGAAGATATTACAAATTAAAATATAACATGCAATGTTTCAGAAATATAGCTTAAAACAAGCAATACTTCAACTTTCAAAGGCCATTGCACTGTTGTCAATTCATACATTTCAGTGTAGTGTAACTTTCCAAAATAGTATCAACTGGTTTATTAGGAGTCAATGAATAGTCTTCTTGCAAAAAGTTCAGAACAATCCAAGTTTGGTAATTAAAGCAGTTTTTAACTACTGCAATCTGCAGTTAGTTTGATCATCTATTTGCAAACATTTTCTTTTCAAAGATATTTAAAAAGCCTCTCAATATATGGAGCTACAGTAGACACTTCTCTTGTGGACAATATCAATATTACTCCTTGCAGGCCAGTTAAATGTTTTGACAACTTGGGGAAGAAATTTGATTTCAACCTCATTATCAGTAACCCTAAGGGCTCTTCCAATGTAAAACTCGGTGTCACATTAGAAACCTGTACTGTATCTCAAAAAGCAAGAACCAAAAGACAGCGGAAACACTAGTTAGAGCATGCTCAATAAAATGGAGCATGCTCTATATGGGTACTCCACATACCACAGTTATGTGTACACCCAAGTGTAATATTAAGGCGTTGGTTATCAGTACAACCAGAAAAGAGAATTAACCTTTAACTCCCAAGATCTGATTGTTAATTCTCCCCTCTAGCTGCTACACATTTCCTTGTAAATTAGTTATGAGAACTTGGGGCTAGATCAAGATAGCAGCTTCTACCTGATAAGTTTGAATATTCTCATCACCTGTTTCCTGAATAATTCATGAATGTACGTGTAGGGAGAAGTTTTACATTAATCACCTCTGGGAGTTAAAGGGTTAACTTGTAATTGGGCCTGATTAAGATAAATTTTTCAGTTCTGACAAAGTCAATTATAAAAAGTTCCTAAATAAACAAAAATATTTCCTTATTTTTTACCAATGTAAAATAAAGTTTCACAG